ACTTGCACAAAGTCAGGGATTTTGTAGGATTAGAGTGTGGTGTATGTTTAACCAAGTATACCAGGCAAATTCTAATGATCATCAATTTCATGTGTAGGTTAGAACACAGCCATTAACAGAAACAGCTGTGTAGGAGACTTTTAAAACTGGGTTTGGAACAGCCATACTCTGCTACTAAAGCAAGGTTATAGAAGACAGTTTCATGTCAAAGGTCATATACAATGGCAAGACCAAACACAGGAACAAAACACAAGGTAGTTATACTGCATTAGCAAGGTCTCTCCCAGGCAAAGATTTCAAAGTAGACTGGGGTATCAAGATGTGCTGAAGAAGCACAAAGAAACATCAAGGATCATAGACACAGTGGTGGGCCAAGGAAACTTAATACAGCAGATGAAAGACACATCATGTATACTTCCGTTTAGACATCGGAAGCTGTCCAGCAGTGCCATCAGCACAGAACTGGTGGAAACGAGTGTGTCAGGGTCCTGTCCACGGCAGAAGTTCTGGAAGATCTGGCATTTCTGCCAGTACTCTACATGGCTGCAGAAGTACACATCAGCCTCAGTCTGGTGCCAGGGGGCGTTTATAAGGAGGCTCATCACATCCTCTGTTGCTGGATGATCTCTAGCTCGCTGTGCCCTGTTCCTGGTTCCTGTTTCCTGTGATTCTGACTTGTGATTTCCTGTTTCCTTGGCTTGCTCCTGGACCTGTCTACTCTGATTTACCCCTGATCTGACCTCGGCTTGGCTTATGGATACTCTCTCTCTCTCTCTCGCTCCTCCGTGAATGACCTCGGCTATCCCATCTGACTAAGTCCACTCTGATTTCCACCTGGTACCTGACCTTGGCTTGAACAGACTACCCAGTAAACATCCAAATCCTGGAAGGGCTTGCATACCACGCACAGGCGCCTCCTGTCTGCAGACCTATCTCCGTACACCAGCTGTGCTTCTGAGTGGACCACCAACCAGCACTCCTACAGGTGACCTGTGCAACTTTGAGCTTGACTCCCGCTGTCCCACTCTCAGGGCAGTCCGGAACTTAGCCGCAAGGGAAGCCCTCTCTTCATTGGCCTCCATCACCAGGTACGTGATAGAGTGGGACCTAGGTACACCCATCTACTGTCCAGAAAAGACTGAAGTGGTCTTCATGGAAGAATTGCACCCAAAAAGCCATAACTCCATTGTGGAAACTAGGCTAAGTGACTTGACTATGCATGAAAACATGGCAGCAGGTGCTCTGAACTGATGAGTCAAAATTTGAAATATTTCTCTGTATCAGGAGGCAGTTTGTTTGCCGAAGGGCTGGAGAGAGGTACAATAATGAGTGTCTGCAGGCAACAGTGAAGCATGATGGACTTTGCGTGCAAGTTTGGGGCTGCATTTCTGTAACTGGAGTTGGAGATTTGGTCAGGATCAATGGTGTCCTCAATGATGAGAAGTACAGGCAGATACTTTTCCATCATGCCATACCATCAGGGAGGTGTGTGATTGGCCTCAAATTTATTCTCCAGCAGGACAACAACCCCAAACATACAGCCAATGTCATTAAAAACTACCTTCAGTGTAAAGAAGAACAAGGAGTCCTGGAGGTGATGGTTTGACCTCCACAAATCCCTGATCTCAACATTATCGAGTCTGGGATTTCACACCAAATATTGATTTGATTTGGATTTCTATTCTGTTCATTTACTTTCCATTTTGTTAATGGATCAAAATATATACTGTATATATATTTATATGTGTATATCATGTACACAGATTCAATGAACTCTGACCTTAATGAGAAAATGGCAAAACCTCTTTGTTGGTGCTGGTGTTGGTGCATTTGTGACACCTGTTATTTTACAGAGTGTTATGTTCATCTGGGAGCTGGCCAGCTGTCCCAATGTTCACGCCATTGTTGCTCTGTTGAACTCCAAGAAAAGAAGCGAATAAATACATCTATTACCATCTGCTTACATTGCTTGGCTTATGGACATGCTGAAGGGTAAACACACATCTATAGACTCTCTGTGTATGTTCACACTTACTGCCTTCCAGTGAGATGGAAATGTACACAGTGTTCATGGAAACATTCTGATCTGTATGGTCATGAATTGTCCTACTTGGATGTACAAAAATCAGGTTTACAATATTTTAATTTCACCTTCACTATGCGAGAAAAAAGCAAAAAAAGAAAAGGATTTTGTAAAACAATCATGCTGATGTTTGTTGTTTCTGGAATATGCAGCTAGCCAAAGATTTGTAAAACAAAGGAGTGTTTAGTCATTGTGGTCTTTTGTGTTTTTTGTATGATGCCTCCTGACAAAGATCAGCAGTGGGATTAAAGGCTAACTCCACCTTTAGGCTCATGATACATACAGTACTTAGTGTGTAGTGTAACCACCTCCCCCAGCAGTCTGCAGGGGTTCTACTCTCCCACAGATGTCAGACGTGAAATTGGTGTAGCTGGGTAGGGCAACACAGATTCATCATTCATTCACAGAGATCTGTTGTAGAACAAACTACATCACGGCACACAAACTTGCAGTTCTCAATGGAACACAAACCCGTAGATCACCACACTCATAATCCACACTTCTTCCAGCTCTAACGGAAAGTCTGCAACTCAGTATGGACAGGAGCTAGAGAAAGTCTGCAGGAGCCTGGCATTACACACATGATCCAGTGGTCATGGTTGCAATTCTTTACAAGATTATGCAAAAAATAATAAATGTACGTATGTATTTTCAGAAAAAAAAAATGTGCATTTATTATTTTTTGTGAAAGGTGCCTTTAAGCAAGCCGTACAAGGCTCATTTGATCCCCTCATTCATATTAAACAGCATGGATGGGGGAAGCTTCACCGCTGGCTATTGTAATTGCACCCACATCTGCCTGAATGCAATGGCAGACCGTAAATCTGATAGGATGTAGTCACTGTTCAGTTGATAATTTTCCACCTGGCTCAGTCAATTTTTTAAAGGCTAATTCCACCCTTCACAGCATGTTTCATGTTGCACCCATATTTATGGAATAATGTGAAAAAGTTTAATTTTCCTCAGCCACTCACCCTGACTTTTCCTGAATAATGGGGTTCTGCCTGCAGGTTCGGTACTATTTAACTTTTGTATTCAGCTCATTTGTGTGTGTCATCGCCTCCCACAGCCACAGAGATCTGTGAATGGAGAGACTACAACTCCCATCTGCCACTCTGGCAGAGGGACAGTAATTCTCAGTGGAGAACGAGTGTGGTGATGTCACTGCACCTATAGTCCATTGATACATCCTCCTGCTCCATAGCTGACTGTACGGACCTACAGCTGTAGGAGTAGCCTGCAGAAGCCTGTGCATTGCACCCACGATAGCCTGATCATTAATGTAATGTAATAGGTGAATTTATTCATTTTGTTTTTTTTAAAAAAAGGGTAGAATATGACTTTAAATTGACTTTTGGCAAGTCAGGTGATGTTTCCAAGGCCAACCACAGCTCACATTCTAATTAGGTGAAATCAGAGCCATTTCTAGCATTAAAGTGGAAGTAAAGGCAAAACCTACCTAACTGTAAATGTATTCACATTCTAAGCCTAATCTATCTAGCCCGGTAAAGAAAACAATCACTATACTTACAGTGGGTATAGAAAAGAACAGCCCCCCTTTAAAATAATCACATTTTGTTGTTTTGCAGCATGAAATGAAAACAGACACCATTTTTGTTTTATCCAGCTGTATTTACTCAGGAGATGGATACAAAAAAAATCAAAGGCTTTATGAATGTCTGGAAGCACAGTGAATTCTATTATTAAGAAGTGGAAGGTATTTGGTACAACACAGACCCTCCAGGGATCAGGACCTCGCTCCAAACTGGGTGAAAAAGCCAGGAGGAAACTGGTCAGAGAGGCTACCAAGAGGCCTACAGCAACTCTGAAGCAGTTGCAGGAATTTATGACAAAGAGAGATTGGTCATTGTGTGCATGTGACAACAACAATATTACAAATTCTCCACAAATGTGGCTTGTATGGGAGGGTTGCAAGAAAAAATCCACTCCTCAACAAATGCCACATGCAGTCACGACTGAGCTTTGCCAAAACGCACCTTGAAGATTCTGAGGCCACATGGAAAAAGATGTTCTGGTCAGATGAGACTAAAATTGGATTTTTTGGCCTTAACACTAAACAAAATGTCTGGCAGAAATCCAATACAATTCTGCAAAGAAGAGAGGGCAAATCTTGCAAAGTCTAGATATACAAAATTAGTAGAGACATATTCCAACAGACCAGGGGTGGACTGGCAACTCATGGGGCCCCCAGGCAATAGGGGATCATGGGGCCCTTGTGCCCTTGCCTGAACTCAAAAAAGCCTTTGAAAAAGGTACCAGAGGCATCTCATGGGGCCCCCTACTGACCCCGGGCCCTCGGACAGTACCTGAGTTTCCAAATGGTCAGTCCGCCCCTGCACCAGACTAAAGGCAGGAATTAAAACAAAATGTGGTTTCTGACACTGAGTAAATACAGCTGGGAAAAAAATGAAAACTGTTTGTCTTCATTTCAGACTGCAAGGCAACAAAATGTGATTATTTTAACCACTTGCCTACTGAGCACTCTTACCCCCTTCCTGCCCAGGCCAATTTTCAGCTTTCAGCACTGTCGCACTTTGAATGATAATTGTGCGGTCATGCAACACTGTACCAAAACAAAATTGTTATAATTTTTTAAGACAGATAGAACTTTCTTTTGGTGGTATTTAATCACCACTGGTTTTTTTTATTTTTTTTGCTCAACAAACTAAAAATACTAAAAATATTGAAAAAAAAAAGTTCTTAGTTTCTGTTATAAAATTTAGTAAATAAGTAATTTTTCTCCTTCACTGATGTGCGCTAATGAGGCTGCAGTGATGGGCACTGATAGGCAGCACTGGTAGGTGGCAATGATGGGCATTGACATGCATCACTTTTGGGCATTGACAGGCATCACTAATGGGCACTGAAAGGTGGCACTGATAGGCGGCACTGAAAGGCAGGACTGGTTAGAACTGTTAGGTGGCACTGACTGGCACTGATAGGTGGCACTGACTGGTACTGATAGTTGGCACTGATTGGTGGCACTGAAAGGCAGCTCTGATATGTGGCATTGATATGCACTGGTAGGCACAGATACATGACATTGATGTGCACTGATGGGCACTGGTATGTGGCATTGATGGGCACTGACAGGTGGAACTGATGGGGCTACACTGATCATCAGTGCCCTGGTGATCAGTGTAGATGCCGCCTCTGAGGAATGCCAATTACCGACTCCCCTCTCCTTACACGCTGTCAGCATGAGAAGAGGACTGCTGATAACCGGCATTTCCTTGTTTACATGCAATCAGCTGTGATAGGACACAGCTGAGCACATGACAGAGCCAATGTCATTGGCTCTTTACTCTGATTGGTGATCTGCTGTGTCCCAGGGAGTGCATGTGCAGTTAGAGTGGGAGGACGTCATATATGCTGTTACACAGTTAATATTTATGTTAATGTACATGAGAATTCATATAGTTTATTCTTTGTACCAATTTCTATGGACATTTCTATAGTTAGTAATGCTGCCATCCAGTGGCCTTATTTGGTAATGCATTTGTTTTATATTGCCTCCCTGAGATCTATGACACAGTTCCTTTGTATATGAAGCTCCTCCCTTCTTCTTGAGTTCAGCACTTCCTGTGTCATGGAGGCGGCTAACAGACCACATGTAACAGGGACACGTGTATTCTGCATAGTACGCTACAGAAAGTATCATCTTTTGACGGCATAATACTGGAAACCATTCATTCTGCTGTATCCTGTTGTCACATGTACAGAATAAAGCAGCTTCTGGATGAACACAGTATTGGTGAGTTCAAGCTATCTGATAAGGATTGCCACAGTGATTATATCTGCTTATACAGGCTAGGCAGAGAGGTCTCACAAGGGATAAATCGCTATCACAACAATCTGAGTCAGAATAGTCAAAAGATGCATAGAATACCTACAGCCTGCTGTGTATATATGTGTGTGCCTAATCTGCAATCAAGCTCAGTGCCATCCGCCATCTTGCAAAGCACATGGTCGCACAAGCTTACTGCACTTCATGTGAATGTTGAAAACTGTTTCCCTGCATTGAACTGTGTTACCCCACCTGTCTAAGCTGCTGTTCATCTTCTTAAAGAGACAGTACCAATTTTTGCAGAACAGTAAAAAATGTCTAGACAAGGCTCTGAACACTCCTTCATGGCCGAACCAACGCAGATACATCATTCCTCTGAACCAGCAGACGTACAGGGAGCAGATTCTGCAGACATTCCCGAACAGAGCGTAAAACCCAAACGTACAATAAAACCAACACAGAAACTCAGGGAAAACTATGAAGCCCTAGAGATGAGTTCTCCAGTAATCTGTCAGACCTCTGGGACCGAACTTCACAATGCATGTCAGTTTTGTCACACTTTAATGATCAACCAGCTGAATTAAAGAGACTCTATAAATCGCTTATCTGCTGCGTATGAACGCTACCAGCGGCTGTCTGTAAAATGCTCAGCTTTCTTGCAGGACTCTAATATAGAGGATTCTTCAGCAGAACTGACCAGGACTGATGCACTAAACCAACAAAGGGATCTTGCAGTGCAAAATGCTAAGTTTAAAGCAGAACTCCGCATTACTCAACTGCAGGAGACCAGATCTCACAGATCCACCTCAACCAAGCGCACTGCACTTTCTTCTAGATCCTCTCGCTCCAGAAGTTCGACGTTAAGCGATAAGCTAATAGAGGCCCGCGCTGATGCTGAATCAAAAAAGGCGCAAAGCTCTTTTACCAGAAAAGAAGCAGAGGTAGAAGCACGCAAGATAGCGCAACAAGCGGAGATGATAGCTCAGCAAGCAGAGATAGAAGCATGCAAGGTAGCTCAGCAAGCAGAGATGGAAGCTAAAAGCAAAGCTCAACAAGCAGAGATGATAGCTCAGCAAGCAGAGATGGAAGCTAAAAGCAAAGCTCTCCAAGCACAAATGGCTTCTCAACAAGCAGAGGCAGATTCCCAAATAAAGATTCTGCAGATGGAAGGGGAGGAAGCAGCTTCCCTAGCAAGGCTGAAATCCTTGAACAAGCAATGGGACAAAGTACTAATTCAGACTGCCTTATCCCCGCAGAACTGGAAGATCCAGTTGAACGCACCAGTGAATACGTATTAAAGCATAACATTTGCGAAGATACAGAGTCATCTCCTGTACCTCCTACTAACAACACTGTTCTGACTCTCAACACAGAGACCTCTAAGCTCCATATGCCTAAGCCTCTTCAAATCTACAACACAAGTACATCTATGCAGCAAACCACATCAACTCCTGCCAACAACAAGGTGACTTCCAGTGACAAGTCGCAGCTCAAGCCACAGCCAGCACAAGCCTTAGAGACTACACCACAGTTAAACGCTCATGCAACATCATTTTACCCTGGTAAATCTCACCCTACTACATCACCAGAGAACTTTCACACCCAAGGGGTTCCACAAGTTACTTTGGCACCAAAGAGTGAGAGATCAGACTTGAATGACTTTGCCAGATATATGATTCACCGTGAGCTCATTAACACCAGCCTCTCAAGGTTTGACGACTGTCCAGAGAGCTACAGGGCCTGGAGATCAACCTTCAAGGCTGCTATTGCTGATCTCAACCTTACTACTAAGGAAGAACTTGATTTGCTCATAAAGTGGCTGGGACCAGAATCTGCAGATCGTGTTAAAAGACTGAGAACAGTACATGTTGACCACCCAGACGCAGGTCTTGTTTCTGCATGGGCAAGACTTGAGCAAGCCTATGGTAGCTCTGAAGCCATAGAGAGCGCTCTATTCAAGAGACTGCAAAACTTCCCAAAAATAGGAAACAAAGACTATCGCAGGCTCCAAGATCTAAGTGACCTCCTCATGGAGCTAGAGTTGGCAAAGACAGACCCACGTCTATCTGGACTAAGCTTCCTGGACACCGCTCATGGTGTCAACGCAGTGGTGTCTAAACTGCCATACGGCCTGCAAGAGAAATGGGCACAACAAGGCTCAAGGTACAAAAGAGACTATAACATATCCTTTCCTCCATTCTCATACTTTTGCAGGTTCATTAGTGATCAAGCCTGGACGAGAAACGATCCCAGCTTCAGCTTCAGTGAACCAAACTTGCCTGCTTCATCCTCATCATCATCAAGGTATGATAACACAGCAGCTAAACGTAGAGACTGTACTAGAGCAATATCTGTTAAAAGGACAGACATCTCACCCTCCACAACCTCGCCTACTGACCAAGGCATTGTGGATGTCAGAGATAAAGACCCTAATTGTCAGTGTCCTATTCACAAGAAGCCTCACTCTCTTAAGAAATGTCGTGGGCTTAGGGCAAAGACTTTACAAGAGCGCAGGGAGATTCTCCAGAAACTTGGAATATGCTACAAGTGCTGTGCTTCTTATAACCACTTTGCTAAAGACTGTAAAGTTGTCATCAAGTGCAAAGAATGCGGTAGCGACAGACATGTTACAGCCATGCATCCTAATCCACTTCCAGACAACCCGCAGCAGCTACCTACCTCAACCCCTGTCTCAAATTATGGCGGGGAGCAACAAAGTCATGCTCTAGCCAAAAGTAATGTTTCTTCTTCATGCACAGAAGTCTGTGGAGAGGGACTGGATCACAAATGCTGTGCCAAGATATGCCTAGTCAAGATATACCCCAAGGATCATCCTGAGGAAGCTGCTAGGATGTATGCCATAATAGATGAACAGAGCAACAGATCCCTGGTTAAGCCTAAATTCTTTGAGATCTTTGGCTTAGAAGGTCACGCCACACCGTATACTCTCAGAACCTGTTCTGGTCGTGTAGAGACCTTTGGCAGAAGGGTCGATGGATTCATGGTCTCTCATATCAAGGATGGAGAAGGCATACCCCTCCCAACATTAGTTGAGTGTGATCAGATACCAGACGAAAGAGAAGAGATTCCTACTACAGAAGCTGCATATCATCATCCTCACTTAAGGCACTTGCTGATGAGATTCCTGCGATGGACAAGAGTGCTGAAATCTTGGTCCTGCTAGGAAGAGACATTCTCAGAGTACATAAAGTATGCGACCAATGCGATGGACCTAACAATGCCCCTTATGCACAAAGACTTGACCTAGGCTGGTTAATAGTGGGCGATGTATGCCTGGACAGAACGTCCTCTGAGATCCACTCCTTCAAAACGTACATGTTGGGAAATGGACGTGCATCCCACTTCAAACAGTGCCCTTACCATTATGAAGTAAAGGAGAAGCCTCTTGACATCATCCAAGTACCTGATGTTACTCCTGTTCTTTGTGATGACAACCTAGGTACCACAGTGTTTTCTACTACAAGTGATGACAACAAAATAGCCTTGTCAGTCGAAGATAGAGAGTTCATCAAAATAATGGACGAAGAATTCTTCCAGGATGAGTCTAACAGCTGCATCGCACCATTACCTCTTCGTGCTGCAAGGGCCACACTCCCAACCAATCGTGAACAGGCTCTCTATCCAGATTTAAAAAAAAAAAAATTAATAATAGCGCCTATGGTCAAAATTATATAACTTACTAAATAGTGTACCAGCTGCAAAAAATCACCATATATAAAGTGTACCAGTAAAATAAATAATTTGCGCTAGTAAATGTGTATAAATATATAAATATATATAAAGAAATCATCAAATCATAAGTCCAGAAAAAAATATATATGCCAATACCACAAAAAAATATAAAAAAACTTTTAAGTGCAAAAAACTTTTGTGCAAAAAAAGTGTCTAAATATGAAAAATTTCACCAAAAAACCTTGATAATATAATGGCAGATCATCCATAAATATATCTTCAGAAACGGAAACTCTGCAACACACCGATCCTCATCGATCGAAATAACAGGATGAAAAACTTTGTAGTTAATCGAAAATCCACTTCTCCAATAGATAAAGGACCACCTTCCCCCCATGGATACGTTTGATGTGGTGGTCCTTTATCTATTGGAGAAGTGGATTTTCGATTAACTACAAAGTTTTTCATCCTGTTATTTCGATCGATGAGGATCGGTGTGTTGCAGAGTTTCCGTTTCTGAAGATATATTTATGGATGATCTGCCATTATATTATCAAGGTTTTTTGGTGAAATTTTTTTCATATTTAGACACTTTTTTTGCACAAAAGTTTTTTGCACTTAAAAGTTTTTTTATATTTTTTTTGTGGTATTGGCATATATATTTTTTTCTGGACTTATGATTTGATGATTTCTTTATATATATTTATATATTTATATACATTTTCTATCCAGATTTAACTCACTTCAACAAACACTAAAGAACAGGCCTGAAATGAAGGAACATTTCATCGCTTTTATGAAA